CTGCTTCTAATGACACTTGGGACTGTTCATGTTAACAAAAAATAGAAAACATATACAAAATAGAATGATTTTTGTTCTGTGTGTGATTGACTGCGGAACTCACTCCACTAGAAAAGTTTAAGACTTAATATACAAATTAGAATCAGTCTCACAGAGGTGAAGAACAGCATGAACGCTAACAACTACACATAGAAAGATAATAAATAAATACCATGCTTAAGTTGCTCAGCAATTATTAGAAGCAGAAAGATGGGGAGTAAAGTGCTTGTTAGAGAGTTCTTACACCTGAGCCAGAAATGCTTCATGTCAGGCCCTGCCAGCCAGCACTTTGGCCACAGCTATGGTCCAGGGTCACAGTTTGTATTGTGACTCTTGCATAGACAGCATCACATCGATTGATTTCGTTTTAGCTTCCCTGGTAATTTTGTTAAACACTTGCTGGTGGCTGTGGCTTGATTCTGTTCAAGAGTTATTCTTTGGAAGTGTTTTTCTTTCCTTAAAATAAATTAAATACTCTGAAGTTAATCAGAGACCTCGTGTGCTTTTTTACATGTCACAAGGTCATGTATCTTGGGCTGATGGCAGGATTGCAAATGGAGACAAAGTGGTCAGAGGCTGCACTAATCCCTGCCATGAGGGATATGGAGGAGCAGCAAATAAAGCAGGGTCTATATTAAGTAGGTGGGAAAATGCTTCTGAAAAAATCCTCTAAATAGGATGATTCCTCTTTTCCCTGTGTGTACCTGGATAACATTGTTTTGTGTTTTCCCTGCGTGCTCTGGAGCTGATCCTGGGGGTTTTGCCTTCCTGAGAGCCACAGAAAGAGAGATCTTGTCCATGTACCTGTGAAAATATTACTTGAGTTCAAATTAAAAAATTTAAATAACCCATGCTGCACTCCATCTTTTTAAATCCTTGCTCACTCTTGCTCACAGCCCTGTGTGTAACTGCTGCTAAGGGAAAGTTTGGGGAAGTCCACCTGCCACAGAAATCCTTTTGTGATTTCCTTTAAAAATTCATCCCAGATACAGATTTATAATTGGTTATTTGCTTTCCTACTAGATATCCCTGCCCCTCACACTCACACTTGATCCCTCTGCATAAGCCAAATATTTCTCTATTCTAACTCTAATGCCCCAGTGATGGCCACAAATAAAAACACAGCACAAAATGCAACAGAACCTTTCAGCAGCAAATAGCTTCAGGAAGGTGGCTTGTGTTCATTGCTCCAGTGGGATGAAATTCAGCATTTCAGTGCAAACAAGCAAGCAGTGTCTCTGAGCAGCACACAGCTTCAGAACAGCTTTGGCGTAGTTGGAAAAAAAACAAACAAAAAACCCCCACCAAACCAACCAAAAACCACACCAGCTTTTATATTCAGACTCACTGTGTATGTAGATATGTGTATGAATGTTTTTTAACTTGTCCTGTGCAATGACACAGGTGGTAGCCCCTCTTTTTTTTTTGTTACAGAAATGCAGATGAACATATTTTAGTCTGTTTCGTAGAAAGCAGGGTGTTTTGGCTCTCAGGAACCCCATGCTTTTGAAATGCTGAAAATTTCAAAGGAAATGACAAATTGCCTCCCTCCCTGTGGGACTCCAAGGTTTTGGCCTGAGTCACAAGCAGAGGCTGAAGCAGGACTGAAGTGATAGCCCTGCATGGGACTGGAGAGCCTCTGGCTTTTGCTCTGACCCCAACCCAGAAGGTTGATATAGATGTGGGACAGGTAGAATTTGGAGGAGACAAGAAGGAAAAAATAGGAAAATTTCCTGAAGTATTTATTTTACCTGAATGCTTAGACAAGACTCCTTCACGCACACCTTTTTTTTTTTTTTTTTCTTCTTTTAAATATTCAGAAATAATTAATAATAATAGTAATAAGAATAAAAATGTCTAGCTCTTCACATGTATACTGAGGGCTGCAAAGCTGTAAAAGAAGGACTTCTGCTATTGTGTCAGCAATTTAGCCTGATGCTGGCTTAAACTGCCTTGCAAGAGGAGCAAAGAGCTAACACTGACCACAGCTCCAACCCTGAGACTGCAGATAAGGCCAGCAACCAGGGAAAAGAGCCTCATGGCACCTGTGTGAGGGGACAGGAATGCTTCTGCAATCTCTGGTTAAACTGAGTAGCAGGGAAATCCTTTTTTTAGATGAGGGCACCTGAGAGAGCTCTGTTAGAACACATTTGTGCTGCTGTTCCCATGGCTCACCATGCAGCAGCGAATTTGGGCACTGAAATGGCCCCATCTCAGCTGCAGGAATGTCCTGCAAGACAGCGAAAATTCATCACACAGCTCAGCCCCACGTTTGGCAGGGGAGCCCAGGGAGGGTTTGAGTGGTGGTAATTCCCTCCTTGGCAAAGGCAGCCCAGGCCAGGGCTCCCCTCTTTGTCTGGGGCTGTGGGTGATGCTGTGCAGTCCAGGAAAGGCAGAAACTGAAAACCATCCTCTCCCTTCAGGTCTCCCTGGCAGATCTGTTTTGTCAGATTCAGCTCTTTTCTTTTTAACAACGTTTTTCCCTCCCCTCGAAGTTTTCCGGTCTTGACCAGCACTTTCAATGTCACCTCTTCAAATGTCACCTGCGATCCCCTCCTTCACCCCGTCGCCCTCACCCAGATCATTTCAACACACAAAAAACCCAACCAAATCAGCATTGCCACCACATCCTTCCCTCCTAACCTGGAGCAGTGCATCTGTCCTGGCTGGGATGGGCTGGTGGCAGAGCCCGGTGGAGGCCACGCCAGGGACCCGTGGGCAGGGCAAGGCGTGGGGAGAGCAGTGCATGGTGCCCAGGTGGCTTGGCCTGGGGAGCCAGGGAATTGGGGGAGCTCCAGGGGTTCTGCCCCCGCACTGCTGCCCAGCAAAACCCCTCAGGGCTGGGCTGCCAATCAGAATGAAAGCAAGAGCCGCCCAGAAAGCACCTATAAAATCTGTATTTCTGCACACGAGCCGTGCATGTGGATGTGGATGTGGCTGTGTGTCCATGGGTTGTCACGCACACACGGATGTGAATCCAGGAGCGCCTGCCAGGCCCGGCACCCAGCACTGGCAGGAGAGCTTTGGAGGTGCGCGGTGCCCTGCACGGGGTGGCAGAGCCCGGGGTGGCACCGGCACCACCACAGACACGGAACCGGGCCGGGATCGGGCCCAGGGAGAGCCACAAGGGCTGGGTCAGAGCCGAGCACGGCACTGGGAATGCCCCAAACTGCCCCAGGAGGGAAAACACCCTCTAGGAAGTGGAACTCGCAGCCCCCCACTCAAAACAAAACATTAAATTAAATTTAAAAAAAATTAAAATGGGGAAGGTTATGCAGGGATAGAGTTTTGTTGCTTTTTTTTTTTTTTCAGTGCATGTATAAATGAAGGCAATTTGGGTGCTACAAATATAAGACGAAAATACACCTAATTCCATCATCATATAGATATAATATATTTCACTCTCACCACATAAATACAAAACATCCAAATATCCAAAACATTCAGAACAAAAGTTAGTAGCAAGGGCTCAGCGCTCGATTCATTCATTATTTTTTCGACTAGTTGCCTAGAAACTTCAGACGTAAATAATTTACAATAAAATTACTATTTTCTTTCCATCCAGCTCCTTCTGTCCAGTTCTGGTCTATAGTTAATTCTATATTCTACAGCAACCATTCCACTTTTTGTATTTTTTTTTTCTTTTTTGGTTACAGTTTGGTGGCACATATTTATACAGTTTGTAAACGCCATGTGTTAAAGTTCAAAGAAAGAAAAGAAACTTAAAACCAAAGTAAATAATTTTTTCCCCCAAAGAACTACCTAAGTACAGCATCCCTTTTGTGGCAAATTCAAGTACCGAAATTGAACAGAAAATATTCGATCCAGAGTACTAGAACGTGAAATACATATGTTTGTGGAGAAAATAGCAGTAAGAATTATGAAAAAAAAAAGGTTTGTTACATATATGTGTTTTAAAGTACAAAAATAACAATTAAAGATACGCTTTTTATATTTTACGTTTGTTTTAAATGAAGTGTGAGCGATATGCAAGAGGATTGTTTTAGGAGGAAGGAAGGCTACAGGGCTTTTTTTGTGTTTAGAGGAACATTGAAATTATTTGGAAAAATCAAATAGAGCAATAAAAATTAAAATTACCATCGCGACAGATCTAGATACAAATAAGATTCGCGAGTTCCATGATTTATCTGCAGATTGGTTTTTGCAGATAAATTCCGCGGGACTGGCCCGTTAGAATTCAAATGGGGAAAAAAAAAAAAAAAAAAGGAAAAATGAGGGAAAAAAAGGGTGGGACGTTGTGTTAACTCGAAGGAAGAGACAATTTTATTAAAAATTTCTGCAGCCACTGGTTTCTGTCTCCCCTATTCGTGACTGTAGATTTCGGCCCTTCCCACATTCGAGATTTACCGTGAAAAAGAAAAGTTGCTGGAGGATTTCCTGACTGGTATTAAGGGCTCGGTGTTAAGGAAACCGGGGGCTGTAGTGCAGCGAGTGTGGGGGTAAACGGGGGCAACAGGTGGGGCCCCAAAACCTTTGTGCTTAGAAAACGCTGAGTCTGGGAGACACAAAAAAAAACACCCCAAAACGGGCATCACCTGGCAGCTCCATCCTCCTCTCTCCGAAACGCCGCTCCCTCGCCCGGCGTTGGCTAAAGCCGATCGAAGGAAGCCCGGCCGAGCCTCGCCCCGACCGCTGACCCTCTGCGTCCCTTCCCAAAGGAGCGAACGGCGCGATCGCCGCTCCCGCACGGACAGACGGACCGCGGGCCAGGGGGAGCGCCCCGGGAGGCGCCCGCAGCCCCTCGCCCCGGCCCCGGCCGCCGCCTGCCTCGCCCCGCGGGCTCCGGGCCCCGCTCCGCCCGGCCCCGCTCCGCCCCGGCCCGCGGAGGGAGCCGCGCCGCGGGGCTCGGGGGCGGCGGGGAGCGGCTGCCGCGCCGCCCGTCCCATAAATACCGCCACAAATAGAGACTATAAATATAAATAGGGGGAAGGTACTTAGAGTCAGTCCAGTGCTTTTTTCTCAGCGCTCTCTTTATTGTTGGTCCGGGAGTAGGGCTCGAAGGCGGACGAGCTCAGGTAGCGGGCCGACAGTTCCTGCAAGTTGCCCGCCAGCGAGCCGGCCACGGCCAGGGGCGCGGAGGAGAGGCGGCCGGCCACCGAGCCCAGCAGCGCGGGCACCGGCAGCCCGAAGAGCCCGTGGCCCGCGGCCGCCGCCCCGTGCAGAGCCGCGGGCGGGGGGGGCCCGGCGGCGCCGCTGGCGGCCGGGGGGTGCGGGGAGCCGCCGCCGCCCGGAGCCGCCGCCGCGCTGCCGCTGCCCGCGGCCGCCAGGCCGGGCCCGCGCAGCGCCGAGCCCAGCGCGCCCGTGGCACAGGGGGGCAGCAGCCCGGGCAGCCCCGGCGGGGAGAGCAGCCGGCCTTGCTCCAGCAGCCGCAGGACGCTGCAGGTGGCGGCGGTCTCGGACACCACCGACCGCAGCTCGGAGTCCTTGCCCTGGTCCTTCTTCTGCTTGGTGCGCCGGTTCTGGAACCAGACCTTGACCTGCGGGCCGGGGAGAGAGGCAGGGTCAGCGGGGCGGGAGGAGCGGCGTCCCCCGGCAGGTGCCCCGGGACCCCGGCGCGGCTCCGCGGGGCGGGGGGAGGCAGCGGGGGAGGGCCCACAGACACTTGGGAACGGACAGCGCTTCCAAAACGCAACAAAGCGACTCAACCCCCACACCCTCCGTCTGTTCCCGGGTTCGGGGTGACCCCGGGGCCTTTCGTTCTGCATCTTTAACCAGAACCTCTCGCTTCGTCCTAGTTTATTACAGGCCGGGAATTCTCTGGGAGACGGAGCCAGCCCTTTCCCCGCCGCTTTATTCTAAGCCGGCTCGGCCGGAGCCGCGGGCGCTCCGCGGTTCCCAGCAGCCGCTGCCCGCTCCGACTGCCCTTCCCTGGGGGTAACAGCAGCCATGAGCTTCTTTCCCCCTATTCCAAACTGGACACTCTCTCTACACCCCTAAATAATTTTAAATAATATTCACCTTTAAAAAGGAATGCTGGGAGTCACTCAAAAAACAACAACCAAAACCAAAACCAAACCAAACCAAAACCCACCCATGGCAGGTTCTGTAACCTACGAGCTGTTGAACTTGTCATTCCTATCTGGCAAGGAAAGAAAAAAGCTAATTAACGTGTCGGGAATTTACTGTTATATGATGTTTTGTGGAAATATGAAACCGGCTATAAGAAGTTTCGACTTTTTGGATGTTTGCCTGCGCTCTCACGCAGTTTTAGGCGAGTTTTAGGCCTGTCGACCCGGGCCTTTCTGCCTTGGAGGGTGGAGGGGCGATTCAAGGACTCAAGGCCCAAACCTCAGCCCCATCCCCGGTTCTCTCATAGCCAGGACAGCTCAGGCCGCACGTCTGTAACCCGGCAGCCCCGGGGGAAGGTGCTCGCTGTCCCTGAGGGTTTGAGCGCCTGTGTCCCGCTCGCTGCGGGCTGGGAGCGGCTCGGCCTCCCCTCACAGCAGCGAATCTCCGCGGCCGGCTCCCCGCAGCCGGGCACACCGGGCCTCGGCGGGGCCGGAGCGGATCCCCCCGGGCCGGAGCTGGGGGAGCCTCTCCCGGGAGTTTGGCTTCGTGGCCAAGCTCCCTCCGATGCCCTCGGGCCGGGCTACCTCGCCCACGGGCAGAACCCACTGGGGCTGCGTGCGGGGACACGAGGGACCCTCTTGGCCAGCAGCTCCCCTTCCCTAGACGGACACAGCTGGGGACACACACATATTTGGGGACACACACTGTTGGGGACACACACAATTAGGAGTTTCCCTGCCGGACGCCTCAGCCACGAGCCCCTCAGCTCCATCCCGCCGGCGGGTCCCCCCCGACCGGACACGCGTGGGCACCTCGGGGGCTGCCTCGCCCCTCGCCCCGCGGGGGAGGCGCGAAGGGCCCCGGCCTTGGGGCCCGCGGGGCGCGGAGATGGCCGGGCCGGGGAGTCCCGCGGAGCAGGGCAGGGCAGCCGGGGCTCCCTTGCCTTCAGGCGCTACCTGAGTCTCGGAGAGATTGAGCTGGCGGGCGAGCTCGGTGCGCTCCCGCCCCACGACGTACTGGCAGCGCTGAAACTCCATCTCCAGGCGGTAGAGCTGCTCGGCCGTGAAGGAGGTGCGGGTCCGCTTGGGACGGTCCAGATCAAGCCCCTTAGGCAGAATAATCTCTCGGATTGAACCTTTGGCATCTGGCAAAGAGAGGTGCAGTCAGCTTCATACCCGGGCAACCCTCCTCTGGTTTTTTTCCCCTCTTTTTATACTTCCTAATTTTTCCAAAGGAAAGAGCCGTCCCCAGCGCCTTCAGGACCGAGACACGAGTCGGGATGGAGCAGGGTCCCCGCGACTGTGGCACTGCACCTGGCCACTACACCCAAGGAAGGAAAAAAAACCCACAACAGAGAAGGAAGGAGGGGGCGATGGGGGCCCCGGGCTCTATAATTAATCCCCTCAGCCCATTTAAAAATTACTTTGAATATATTGCACTCACAGTACGACACTGCGGCATCACCCACGGCCCCTTTGGTAAGCTGGGGAGAGAGATCCTCCAGGCCAGGCTTTGTGCCTGAAGTGCAGGGCTACTCTTTGTTCCCCTTGAGCTCCGGGTTAGGACTTGATGGTAGCCGCCATACACAGCCCGTCGCCCCCCAAAATATAAACCCTTATTATTTTTTTTTTTAATAACAAGTTTCTTATGCTTACAAAAAGAAGAAAAAAAAAAAAAAAGAAAAGAAAAAGGAAAAATGCTTTCCTGGCAGAGGCAGCACTGCCCCGACCTGGCTGCCTGCCACTGTCAACGTGGGGACACCTCCAGCCCACCCTGCACCGCTGCCGCTGCCGCTTTGGGGTTTTGGCAACCAGGAGAAGCAGGAGGGAAAAAAAAAAAAAGGAGGGGGGGAGGGATGGAAACCAAGGCACCAACCAGCCCACAGAAACCTCACTTTTCTGGTAGCCCCGACTGAAGGAAAGCGGGACAAATCTCATTAACACGACTGTCAAGCTAGAGCCAGATTCAGGTTACCTTAAAGCCTTCCCAACTTTACTTGCCGTAATTTTACCTTCCTGGTACGTTTTAAATCAGAGACAATCACATCATTTTAATCTGACCCTTCTCTGGGTCAACCGGTGGAGCAAAGATTAATTCTGGCTTCCAAGGCCTGCTTCCCATATATTTTGTTCCGATTCTCTTCTCTCCCTCCTCCCCCCAAAAAACACCTTAATAAAACTGAAATTTCTTCAGGTAATTTTTTTTTTTTTTGAGGGAGTACGAATAAGATGATTTAGCTATTTTAGCCTGGAGAACAGACGAAGATTGAGGGAAATTAAACGTAGAACTATTAAAAAGTAATAATTAAAAAAGCCCTTCGTCATTCCTCCATTTCTTTTAAGGCTGGTGGTTGTTTTAAAACAGCCCTTTTCCTCTGGGCTGCCGGGCACGGAGAGAGAGGGGACAGAGGGAACATGTGCCCTCCGAGAGGGCCTCCTGGCCGCAGCCCCACTCCGCGGTGCGCGGGGCCGCGGGAGGGATGCGCGGGCGCGGAGGGAGCGCGCCCGGCCCGCGGGGCACAGCCGCGGCCCCCGGGGGAAGGAACGCTGGCCCCGCAGGGCTCCCCGCGGCCACCGGCACCCCGGGAAAGCTGCAAAGCAGGAAAGAAAAAAAAAAAACAAAACAATAAGCGGGGCCGGTCCGTTCCGCAGCGCCGGGGAGGAACCGCCGAGGCTTAACTTTCCGCCGAGACGCCGGAGGAAATTCCCCGGGATAAAGGCGGCGGGAGCGGGCTCCAGGGCAAAGCCCGGCCGGGCAGAGGGGTCTCTCCCCCGGAGCCGTAGGAAGGGCTTCCAAGCCGGGGCCAGACCCGAGGCAAAGCGACAAAATAAACCCATCTCCCGGGCGTGAGCACAGCTCACCTTCCCCCACCCTCGCCAAACACCTCAAACTCATACCTCTAACTAGGATCCTCCTGCAATAGTCCGGATCAGCCGAACTAGATTTACTTTTATTACAACCTTCCGTAGCTGCAGAGGCAGAAAAAGTCCCTTGCTGATCCTTCAAAAAAGAAGTAGAAATATTTCCTTCAGACCCTTTGCTTTCCTTGCCCTCTTTATGTCCGTTCTTCGAGACCCGGTTAGCTTCAGTCTCTGAACTGCATCTAACGTCCATTTTGTCTTGTTTCCCAAACATGTAGTGCAATAAAAACAAAACAAAACCAAAAAAAAAAAAGCGCCAACAACGATAACAAAAAAATTATAGAAGAGTAGAAGAAGAAGAAGAAGACGAAGTCTATGCTGGATATTGCACGACTTAGGGTGAGATCGGTGGGGAACTGTAAAGCACCTTGAGTAAGGAAGATCGGGTTTTATCCCACTGGAAAAGCAGCGGCTTCCTCAGTCCCAGCGTCCTAATGTGACTGTCCAGCTTCCCAGAGCGCCCAGTGATCAGGTACTCAACAGTACAACTCTAAAATGATTTAATGTCTGCCTTATTACAGAGACATGTAGTTGTTAGACACACAGAGGGACGCGCACTCGCTGTTTCAATTGATTACGGGTAATTTTGCAGCCTCCACATTTAGGTTACCTCATGAATACACTAAATTGTTTGGATAATATATCAGATCGTAATGGATGGTTTGTGTGCTTGTCCCCAATCAAGTAGAGTTTAGCCAGTGAATAAACTGAAATGATTGGTCTTGCTTTCAGGAAACACACAATCAAAAGACTGAGACTTCCAGAAAAAAAAAAAAAAAAAAAAAAAAAAAAAAAAAAAAAAAAAAGGAGAGAGGAAAAAAAGGGTGGGGGAGAGGGGAAAAAAACCAAAACTTTTGACAAGATTCACCCTGAATTGTTAGCACCATTAGCAGCCATTATTAACTTTCTTCAGTCTGCCTTTGACCTCCCGATTATATAGTGGCTTTCTCCAATGCACGCCAAATAAATCTGAATAAAGCTGCTAGGAAGGGCTGAAAAAATGCAGTTGCAGGGGGGGTGAAGAAAAAGAAAAAAAAAAAAGCCCCCTGAATTCTAAACAAACAAACAGATCCCCAGCACGCACACACATGAAAACTTCTTCCTTCAAGCAGATCTCTCCAAGGAAGCAGGTTATCTTGGCCAGCAGAAATCCTCGTTAACACATCTCCCCACAGACAGCCATCTTAAACTCCTACCTCTCCTTATTTCAGTCCCGATACTTGCTTTTTGTGCTTCTCCCTCTGTGTGTGTGTGTATGTGTGCGTGCATGTGTGTCTGCTAATTCTGCACCTTCGCAAACACTGAACCTATTCGCAGAGCCTGCTCATTGAAAAAAAAAAAAAAAAAAAAAAAAGCCAGCTTTGTGTGCAGTGGATCCAGGAGGGGGGAGAAAGAGAGAGGGGGAGAAAGAGGGAGAGACGGAGAGAGAGGGAGGGAAGGAGGGAGAGAGAGAGAGAGAGATAGCCCGTGAAAAATCTCAACTGCGTGATCCACTAAAGGAGAAAAAAGTTTTACTCTAGCTATTTCATTGTCTCTGCTACAATATCTTTGAGAACCGCAACAGCCAGTAATCCAATAAGACCATTGATTAGGCTACAATGATTCAATTCAAGCAAATGGCCTTGTGCAAAGAGCATGCTCCAGTCCTTCTTGTCACCTTGCAGGGCAGAAGCCCTCTTCATGCTTCTCTCCTTATTCATTCCTTTATGGGAAATGTAGAGCAAAAGGAGTGAAAGATGGCAATTATCTAATTGGACTATTAACAAACAATTCTCTGAGTGTGGCTGTCTGGCAGTGGTTCTTGGGCGAGGTGAAAGGCCACATGTTGCACTGGCCCCATTCACAAAGAGTTTAGGGGCCTGAGAGGGAGAGAAAGAATTTTCCCTGAGAATTTTTCACACAAATGGCGCTGTATCCACCAGGCTGGCTGTTCCCTGCCTCGTCCTCTGCCTGCCTGGGCCACTGCCTGGGAATTGCACCCACCTGAAGCCGGCAGGGCTCTCGCTGCAGATGAGAGCAGAGGGCAGACGCAGAATCCGGCACCCTCGCCAGGGTTGCTCAGCTCCATGGGCCTCATCCTGCCTCTGCTGATGGAACAACCATCCATCCTCATCCCATGGGACCCAATCTTTGTCCAAGGTTGTGTAACCGAGGGAAGGATCCAGTGCTGGGGCCTAATCACCATGCACAGGGAATTCATGGCAGGCTAAAAAAGAATGGGGGCGGAGGGGGGTGGTTGGAAAGGAAAGGGGAAAAGAAAGGAAAGGAAAGGAAAGGAAAGGAAAGGAAAGGAAAGGAAAGGAAAGGAAAGGAAAGGAAAGGAAAGGAAAGGAAAGGAAAGGAAAGGAAAGGAAAGGAAAGGAGAAAGGAAGAAAAGGAAAAAAAGAAAGATAACATGGCAGTTCACAGGTACATTTCACTGAGTTGTCTTTAGTGAAAATCTCAAATCTTTGTCATTTTTCCACAAATCACAGCATCATTTATTTATATTGCCATTGTCTGAAAAGTCGGATAAAGATTGGTGAAGTGTACGTAAGATCTTCATCAAATCCTCTCATTTCAACTGTGTTTATGCACACAACCAACCATGGAACATCCTCATTATGGACCAGGTTTCATTTTTCCTTGCAGCCAATGCATCTCAGTGATCTGTGGTGCTCTGTTGTTGTTAGTTCCTACTTGTACAGCACTCATAGCCAGGGGCCCCAGACAAACCACAGCCCCACTGTGCAAGGCTTCGTGCAGCTACAGAGAGAGGATGGAACATTTCCTCCATGCATTTGCAGGGCTGCTCAAAGGCTTGTTGGGTGACAGGATGCTCAGGAAACAGTACATTTCAGAGAGATTTGGGCTTTCAAACAGAGATGCAACAAGTGGATGCTGATTAGGGAAATTTTTCATGTAGCTGAAGTATAGTCTGGGCTTAGCAGGCCAGCTTTGTTGTGTGATATAGATAAACATACACATGTGTGTGTGAGCACAGGCAAGGCACCATCAACAGTCCCAGCTGGACGTGTCTGTTTAATGCTAAACAAAACAAGGTTCTGCTGCAAACATTTTTACCTAACAGATTTTATTTTAGACAAAATAGGCACAGTGATTCCCATAAAAGGTTTACTGTGAAATACAGAGGCAATTCTATTTGCATAGGTGTGTGGGTGTATGTATGACATTTCCCCCCATAGTTTTCTTTATGCTAATCTCTATGCATAGGCCATAATAATAAACATGGAGCTATTGAACTCAATTACACTGTTTGAAGCAGAATATCTGGAGATTAAATATTATGTTTGTGTGATAATCTGGCTTTTTTTTTTTTTGCTTTTTTTTTTTGACAAGTCCCTCATCCAAAGCTCAGTAAAGACCAGGGGAATTTTGTTCTACTCTTGCCATATTATGATAAATGCATTTCAAGGATCTTTTTGTCCACAGAATTCAGTGGTATAAAGAGGATTTTCCCAATTGAATCAGTTAAATTTACTTTCACACATTATGAACATAGCACTGTTGAAGATCTGCAAATTCAAATAATGAGTCTAATCCTGCAGGAAACTTGTAGTGAGCAGACAAGCCTGTCCAAACTCAGCTCAGTTACTTTAATTGAGGCCCGCTCATCTGCAACAAATAGCAACATCCAGAAGAGCACTGGGAAAATCAGAACTTTACCATTTACAAAAGCAAACTTTTGTTTAGTCCAGCAATCACTAAATTTCCTTTCACCTATTCTCATTATTTTTTTTCCCCACAATATGCTGAAATAATTCTTGACTGTTATGTTCTTTCAGGACATAATATGTCCCTCTCTTACTCCCATAACTTCAGGGATGTCTGTAGCTTCAGCACTCTCACATCCACACTCGTGTCACTGGATAAGCAGATTAAAGGTTACTTATTTTCCCTTCAAGTAATGCTTAAAATGCCTTAGCACACTACACAGGTACTACCTGGCTGGGATTTGCTGTGTAGACCTTGCTGCTTCACAAATACAATTTTATTAGTCTGCATTAGCCTGTAGAAGACAGAAAAATCAGTTTCTCATTGACTGCCATTATTTATATTATTTTTATCTCTATTTCATGTACAGGAGAGAGGTACATTATAGCTACTACTTCTTATAGTCTTCTTTGTTGATGAAAGAAAAAGTTTCAAGCCAAAAAGCATGGTCCAGAGATCTTCTGAATCAAAGATTTATCTCAGGGTTTAATAGCCCTAAGCAGATTTTTTTTCCATTTATTTCCTGATTATTTTGGTTCAGATTATTTGCTTTTGAATTTACAGATGTCTTTGGCAAGGAGCTGCTAGGCCTTCTTTGGATACTTGTTTAGCACAGGGGATGTGAACTGGTTCCTTGGGGCTGAGTAACTTCCTGATTATTTCCAATTAACAGAGAGTATGGTGGTTACTCATAATGATACACCTGGTAATGTCAAGAAATCACTACAAAGAGACAAGAAAAGCCTTGTTATGTGCACCAATGTTACATTTCTCTTGGACAGGGCGTTCCTGTCCAGTGGAAGTGACACTGTGTCAGTGCAGAGGAAGAAGAGGAAGACCATCAAGATGAAGGTTCACCAGAAGGTTCTTCTTTCCCACAAGCCTCAGTGATGTGTTGGCCAGCAGGAGCACCAAGCACCTTCTCAAAACAAAGTGCACAGCATCATTAACAGCTCTTGTGCTTTTGCAGTTACTCACTGCTGGTGAGGAAATTTCCTTACAACAGAAGATGAGCTCTGGAAATTTCAAAATGTAAATGCTGCTATGTATTTAGGGGACATTTAGAAGGCATGTGCTAAGCCCTCTGCTGCAGATAGTGATTTGTTGCAGTGTGAATTGTCTTCATCTCCAGCAAGAGAGCCCGGAAAATGGACTCCTCACACACAGGGGAGCAGTACCCTTGAAGAACAGAAATGTGTTTCTATCTGGAAACTTTACACTTTCACCTTTGAAGGAAAGGATTGAAGTCTTTGACTCAGTTGAGCTCCCTGTGTGAAGTGGAAGGTAAGCTTGTCATGTTTGTGGTAGCCTGCATGGCTAGAAACAGCTCTAATTCCATTTTCCCAGACTTTTCAAGGACTGATGCTCAGGTACATTTGTGTATTTCAATGGCAGGTGGGCCCCTGGATCAAGACATAAAAGAAGTACATGGTGTATTTCATGTGAAATTAAACGTCACAGGCTCACAAGAAATCTAATGGGTACAACAGCAAGAAAAATAAATTTCCTCCCTGCCTTATAAGTGGGCAACAACGTCAAATATT